AGTTTTTTGAAATAGCAAATATAATAAATTGATCTTTATTATCAATAAAATTATTATCCAAATTTATCCAAATTTTTTCCAAATTTTTGTGAATAATAAAAATAATTTTTTCGTGTCTCTAGTACCAGTTTCAGGTTCAAGATCTCAAGCTCGGTGCCTATTAACTCTTCCCAGCAAAGTACAAGACCTACAAGAAAGAAAGAAAAGTTAGCAATAGCAAAAAAAAAATGAAAAAGCAAAGAAAATATGAACTAGTACTTATCTTGATACCAGTTTCAGATTCGAGATCTCAAGCCTGATGTCCATTAACTCTTCTTGGTAAAGTACAAGATCTACAAGAAAGAAAAAAAAGTTAGCAATAGCAAAAAAAAAATGAAAAAGCAAAAAAAATACGAACTGGTACTTATCTTGGTACTAGTTCCAGGTTCAAGATCTCAAGCCTGGTACCTATTAACTCTTCCTAGCAAAGTACAAGATCTACAAAAAAGAAAGAAAGTTAGCAACAGCAAAAAAAAATGAAAAAGCAAAAAAAATATGAACTAGTACTTATCTTGGTACTAGTTCTAGGTTCGAGATCTCAAGCCTGGTGCCTATTAACTCTTCTCAGTGAAGTACAAGATCTACAAGAAAGAAAGAAAAGTTAGCAACAGAAAAAAAAAATGAAAAAACAAAGAAAATACAAACTGGTACTTATCTTGGTACCAGTTTCAGGTTTGAGATCTTAAGCCTGGTATCCATTAACCCTTTCTGGCAAAGTACAAGATCTACAAAAAAGAAAGAAAAGTTAGCAACAGCAAAAAAAAATGAAAAAACAAAGAAAATACGAACTGGTACTTATCTTGGTACCAGTTCCAGGTTCAAGATCTCAAGCTCAATACCTATTAACTCTTCCCGGTGAAGTACAAGATCTACAAGAAAGAAAGAAAAGTTAGCAACAGCAAAAAAAAAAACAAAAAAGCAAAAAAAATACAAACTGGTACTTATCTTGATACTAGTTTCAGGTTCAAGATCTCAAGCCTGGTATCTATTAACCCTTCCTGGTGAAGCATAACCTACAAAAGAGAAAAAAAAGTTAACAATAGCAAAAAAAAAATGAAAAAGCAAAGAAAATATGAACTGGTACTTATCTTGGTACCAGTTCCAGGTTCAAGATCTCAAGCCCGGTGCCCATTAATCCTTCTCGCAAAGTACAAGACCTACAAGAAAGAAAAAAAAAGTTAGCAACAGCAAAAAAAAATAAAAAAGCAAAGAAAATATGAACTGGTACTTATCTTGATACCAGTTTCAAGTTCGAGATCTGCCTATTAACTCTTTCTGGTGAAGTACAAGACCTACAAGAAAGAAAGAAAAGTTAGCAACAGCAAAAAAAATGAAAAAGCAAAAAAATATGAACTAGTACTTATCTTGATACCAGTTTCAGGTTCGAGATCTCAAGCCCAGTACCTATTAACTCTTCTTGGCGAAGTACAAGACCTACAAGAAAGAAAGAAAAGTTAGCAACAGCAAAAAAAAAATAAAAAAACAAAGAAAATACAAACTGGTACTTATCTTAGTACTAGTTCCAGATTCGAGATCTCAAGCCCAGTATCTATTAACTTTTCCCGGCGAAGTACAAGATCTACAAGAAAGAAAAAAAGTTAGTAACAGAAAAAAAATAAAAAAACAAAGAAAATATGAACTAGTACTTATCTTGGTACCAATTTCAGGTTCAAGATCTCAAGCCAGGTACCTATTAACCCTTTCCAGTGAAGCATGATCTACAAAAGAAAAAGAAAACATTAGTAAAAAGATACTAAATAAACAAAACTAAATCAAAAAAATTAACAGAGATTGAATAAAAAAAAAAGATCAAATAAAAAAAAAGATTGAATAAAAAAAAAAAGATCGAATAAAAAAAAAAAATCGAATAAAAAAAAAAGATCGAATAAAAAAAAAAAGATCGAATAAAAAAAAAATCGAATAAAAAAAAGAAAAAAAAGATCGAATAAAACTAAAATTGAAAAAAATTGAAATCAGAAAAAAAAATTAATATTAAAAAAAAGTCAAAAAAATAAGCTAAAAAACAAAGCTTGAACAAAATTAAATTACTATCTGCAGTGTTTAATTTTAAAGTATATATTATATATTGATTGATAAGGGTAGTATCATTTATCACCTGATTATTTTTTATCAGAAGCTTACTCCTTCTCCCCTCTTAATATAAAAAAAATCAGATTCTTATATATAATTTTAACTTTTTTTACCTCCTCCCTCCCTAAAAAATCACCTGATTTTTGTTACGTTTCTAACGCTTAATCGAATAGTAACGTTTAAATAAATTCATTAATAATTGATATTTATATAAATATTAATGCAAATCTAATTATCGAATTATATTGATTTTGGATATATATCAAGTAATAACAGGTTTATCAATATATATCGTTAAATTACAAATGATATTTATCGATAAAGTGTTATATATTAATTAATATCTTATAAAAAAATTTCCTGATGATATTTACCAAAGAGTATTTTCAAGCAATTTCTAAGCAAAAAGAAGTTTTTATTTTGATAATAATTACTTCTAAAAAGCGTAAAGGCAAAACAACTAGGATATTTAAAATTAATATAAATAAATAATTTTTTAATAATTAATTTTATAATTTTAATTTTTATTTATAGAGATTTAATAATAATAATAATGATACTGAAGATTCTGAATTAAACAAAAAATAATTAAAATATAATCGAACTCCAAGTAAAGCTAATCTTGATCAATCTAAATATGATATGGCAGCAATTATTACAATTTTACAAGAAGAAAGATTTTGTAATCAATGTGATATACTTTGTTGGCCTACAAATAAAGGTCATATTAAATTAACAGATACTTATTATACAATTTGGGCTCATAGTATAGTAAGTTTTACTAAATATTATATATAAATTATTTTAAATATATATTCTAAAGGTTTAATTGGCAAATCACGAGTTATCTGAACAAATATTTTTTTTTTATATATAAATTTTACTATAAGCCCGAATGTAGAGTGCGTCTATCTAAAACTTTTTTTTTACTAAGTAAATCACTTTTGGGCTTGTAACAAAAGTTGTAAAGAAGCATCTAATGGTAATAAAAATATTAAAATCAGCTTGGTAGTTCTTGAGAAATCTTTAAAAAACTTCTTTTTCACATATAAAATTTCTTTAAAAAAATTGATTTTTTTT